GGTAGTAAGTAAATCTAATTTAATATTGAAATCAATTTTATAACATCCCTGCAATAGAAAATGTATTCAAATTAATCGCATTAAAATTGAGTTTGTTTTAATTCCTTTAAGAGAAATAAGATTGAAAAATAACTAATCCTGTTAATTCCCGTTGTCAGTTTAATGCAATTCAAAAAATAGAAAATCAGCTTGTCATTTCAAAGATGAATTATTGCAGTATCACTTGTGTTGCGCGTCGTAGGGATATCGCGTGTTGTGTTCAGTGCTTAATTATCAAATTAAAACATTCAATCTCGAAGAATTGTTCTTAAAAAATGAACAAATCGTGCTTAGATAGAAATCGTGCTTTCATTACGTGAAATGTTTTTAGTAAAAGAATATTTTAACTGTACACGGTTCAAAGTCATTTAAAAAAATTTTAAATACTGACGTGTATGATAAAAAACAAAATTGACTAGTGCTATGAAATAGCAAATTGACACCGACATTCAGTCAAATTAATACCTAGAATAGAGACAAATACATTGGTGCTATATAGAGCAATGCTTCATAGCACTGAGTGCTATGTGTTCAAATGAATAATTTTAGTCAAGATGGAGGGTTTCTCAATAAACCATCGCGAAGATAATCAGGTGTTTTTTAGGTTGTTAATTAAGAATATGATGTAGTTTAAAAAATATGGCGGATCCAATATGGCGGAAAAAAACAAAACTTTTACTTAATTTGTTTAAAAACTGTTTATAGGGGTTTTTTGGGGTCGCTGATTACAAAAATGATGTCCGTTTTCAAAAATAAGAAATGGTGGATCTTATATGGCGGACAATTAAATTTCAATTGTACTTAATTTCTTAAAAAACTGTTATTCGGGGATTTTTGAGGTCGCTGATTACGAATATGATGTCGGTTTTCAAAAATAAGGAATGGCTGATCCAATATGACGGACAATAAAATATAAATTTTATTTAATTTTTTAAAAAATTGTTATTCAGGGGTTTTTGAGGTTGCTGATTACGAATATAATGTCGGTTTCAAAAATAATGAATGGCTGATCCAATATGGCTGAAAATAAAATATAATTTTTATTTAATTTTTTTAAAAATTGTTATTCGGGGGTTTTTGGGGTCGCTGATTACGAATATGATGTGGGTTTTCAAAAATAAGAAATAGCGATTCCTATATGGCGGTCAATAAAATAGGTCAAAAAGATGCGTCTTGAAAAAATCTACAAAACTATATTGTATCGTAAAAATGATTAAAAATGTCATCATGTCCCCAGTCCCTATTTACGTTTTAAGACTTACAAAAATTTTAATTCAATTTTTTATTTTCTAAATTAAAATTTCTTTTCGAGTACGTGTTCTCCAATGTATACAATGTAATGTAAGAAAGTGGTAAGTATTTTTATAACACTAAATACGAAATATAAAGAATTTTCCACGTGTCCCTAGATTTGAATTTTTTTAATGTCATCATGTCCCCGCACATATATTTACCGGTTTTTCCACTGGGATCATAATTAAATGTTTTTAAACTATGAAATAAATGAAGTACGATATCAATTTGATAATATGTGAGCATAGAGAAGTGTCAAAATCAATTAAAAAATCAATAAAATAATATTTTAATAATTATAAAAAAACGTACATCTTCTTTTTGTCATCCTGTCCTCAAGTTTATTTTAAAGAAGAACATTTTTAGAATGTAAATAACGCATAAAAACATTTTTAGCATATGTATATTATTTGTGTAAATGTACAATAGAAACAAAATTGAAGTTTTCGAGTAATATAAAAACTAAAAATTCGTGTTTATTATTTTTGTCATCGTGTCCCGTCAGACAGTTTTTTTAAAGAGTAAAGTCAGTCGTTATTAAAAATAAAAAGAACGTTTTTTTTGTTTTGTATAGTTTTTTATATGGAAATTATTTAAATATGTGATTACTAGAAAAAATTTTATTGAGCAGAGAAGTATTCCTTGATCTTGCGTTTTATGATTTTTGACATATTTTAGAACGAAACTCACGAAAAAAATTTGTTTTTCAACATTTCAAAGATTTTATTTTAATTAAAAAAGTTAGGCTCATATTGACGATTTTTTGATTTTTACCCGTATAGACATCACAAACCGCCAAAGGGTTAAAAAGTGACTATTGATCTGTAGTATGCGACTATCTTAACTTGCAAGTAAGAAATATTAATTGGAATGCTTTATTTTTTTAAAATTTGTATAATATGTCTTCTTTTGATAAAATAGCTTCCGGCGCTACATAGCGATAGCGCCAGCGCTATATAGCGCGGTACTATAAAGCACTGTCCCTTATCGGAATCCCACTCCTGAACCCCTAACCATAATGTTTATTGTGACTTATTTGGAACAAGTTAATTATACTTAAATTTTTGTGGGTATCATTTACCAAGATTTCACTGGTAGAGAGTACCATAAAAGTTAGTTGAAATAACTAATTTTTCTAGTGATCAAAAATTATAAGTTAATTTTACCAACGAAGCTTCCCAGTAAAAAAAATTCTAATTAAAATGAATTGAATTGACTTTTAGTTGAATTCTTCTGAATCTCGCTTACTGATTTGTCACGACGAATTGAATTGAATAGAAATGAATTCCCAATGGGAAAAATACCACTGGCGTATTAATGGCCCAATATTGGGAGCCAGGGATGCCATCTAATTCCTGCTTCCTCTTCATTCGGAATTCATCTGTTTGTGGACAAAAACGACATTAAATCAGATAGAAGCGTTTCTATCCTTTTCAATCCAATTTTTCTTACCGGGAGGAAGCTCACGTGGGGGAAACATTTCAGAAAGATTGCTCAATCGTCGGAGAAGTCTGTTAATGTCCTCAGATCGATGTCTAGGATTACATGGGGTGCTAACCCTGTTTTCCTTCTGGAGATTTACAGGGGCCTAGTCCGTTCTCATTTGGAGTGGGGCTGCCAACTGTTTATGGAGGCTTCAAATTCCCACTTAGCAATCTTAAACCGTGCGCGTTATTTTGGGGTGTATGAGTACTATCCCACGTAACTTTCTATTAGCTGAACTTAACGAGCCTCCATTTTCACTGCGTCGAGCTATCCTCACGGAAAGATTTATTTTTCGGAATTATTCTTGGAGAGAAAATTTATTGATTCCTAAATTGAGGTTGTTATCCGGAAGGGTAAAAAGGTCAAAGAAAATTCGGAACTATCAAAGTAGATTCCCTCTAGTTTCTGCATATTCTCGGATAGTGAATTTATCTCAGAATCCAATGAAAACAAGTAAACCTAGCGAGAAAGAACAGGTTCTGGCCAGGTTGAACTGGACTCACGAATCGAGATCAGGAACAGTCCTACACTGAAAAAAATTCCTAACCCCTGTATACCAGGAATTGACTAATTCGACTAGTTACGAGAGGAACCCACTAGGCAATTTTGGTCAAAGTTGATTCCGACAATTAGTCGGAATGACTAGGGAAGCTTATCAGAATAACCAGGTATCTTAGTTACATTGGCTAGAATCACTTTGACTAATTAAACTTTAGCAAAATTGACTATATAGATACATGCGATATTAACCAAACACGTTAGTTAATATAACTAGGAAACAAAGGGGTCAATTCTACTAAATCGACTTTGACAATATTAACCAAGCTACATAACTGAATTGACTAGGATGCTTTGTTACGCTGACTAAATTTAAAGTTGCTATGGTTAATAGTCATGGTAAAAAAGGGTAATAAATTTTAATAATTCAGTACTGACAATAACACAGGCCGACAAGATTTACTTTCCAAGAATTAGACAATACTTTTCCGAAGGTTTTCGACGCGCTGAATCCGAATCCGGCCTCAGAATTGACCCTGCACGTTAGGTTTTCGAGATATTCTAACCGTAATGTGAAAAAAAAACAGTTTTTTAACAGCTTTTGAAGTCATGCAACATCAAGAGATAATTTTTTTTTCCAAAAGGTCAATATTGTATTTGAAAGTGCTATTCTTCCCCTTTAAAACCCATTTGGAAAATTTTAAAAATCTACATTTGTCTCTGAGTAATCGTTCATTCAATTTTCTGAGTATGGCGAATTCTTCGATATTCCAAAAGTGAATAGGAACAGACAAAGCTTCGATAATACAGAAAAATATAACTACAAACGTTTAAATTTTAAATAATTCTCAGGTTTTCGGTATAACTGAACACAAATTCAATGTCAATTCTGAGTCCGGATTCGGATTCAGCACGTCGAAAACCTTCGAAAAAGTGTTGTCTAATTCTTAGAAAGTAAATTGAATCAAATTTTGTTGGCCTGTGAAATTTTATTTTGCTTATTTATCTCTTTTTTAAAATAGAAAAATAGAGATCTATAATTACATATTACCATTTGACAATTATTGCGAGTTGATAATGAAATTTTACTCTTTATCATAATCTTCACTTTTTTACCTGCAAATTTTTAAGTACAACAGTACACTTTCAGCGGAAAAATAACATTTCAGAAAATTCTGTCTTTTTCCTCGCTAAAGGTATATTTATACTTTATTTTCTTGTATTTATCTAGAATTATCCATTTTAAAAAGTTTCTGCAACTGTTGAGTGTATTTTTTCTGTTTTTAGCAGTTTTTTAACAACGAATAACATGTCGGATGATTGGACATAATGCATTGGATGATTGAGCAACTGGTCCAATTATCCAAATGTCGTTCAGACAATTGAGCAGACGGCTTGCTCAATCATCCAAATTGCTACCTCAAAAATTCTTTTCTTACTGGGACTGTTTATTTATCAATTAAAAAAAATATTAACACTTGTTCATCTCGAAATTATGGAATGTTCAGTTATATATTTATGCATTTCCTCCACTAAAAGCCATCAAAACCACGTGGAAAGTAGAAAACCAATTGTAACTTATTTCTGAGATCCTGAACTACCATTTAATTAAAAGAAAAAATAATTTGATTTTTTAAAATGTCTGGAGTAGTGTTACCCCTTAACACATAAAAATTGAAACATACATTACTCAGAATTGTGCTGCTGCATGAACTTTGATTTTTATTTTTGATTCTCCAAGTTGAACAAGTTTTATTTGACGTTTTTTTCAAACTAATGTTCTCTCCTTGTGATCCTCTTATTTCCCCCAAAGAATAAGAACAAGAACTAGGGCAATTAATTTCTCCTTCTGAATAAGTTTCAGAAGATAATTCATCCTAAAATTTTAGAAATAAACACTAATTATAAAAATTAACTTTTAATTGATATTGTTTTTTATCTTATAAATTGAAAACAAAAAACATTAACTTTGCGTTATTCGAAACATTTTATTTACTTACAATTTTTTTTCTTCTTTCAGAAATCACTAATGGTGTTCTGGAAATAAAAATTCATCTTACTATTATTTAAGAAGATCTTAACCCTTCATCTGTAAACGTTTTTTCGACACCTTCCGTCTGTAAACGTGGGTCATTAACGTCACACTGTGTTTTTAATGTGTTAATGTGCTAAAAAAAATTCATGGTACTTTTTACAATCCTCAACTTCTTATATTAATCATAAAAATGCTAAAAAAATCTATTGTGGCATTTATTTTTTATAAACAAATGGAGAAAATAAAAACTAAAACAGTTTTGGCTGGGACACAAATGACTCACGTTTATAAACGAAGGGTTAACTATCATAATTACATATTAAACATATAGTTAACATACTTTAATTTAGATCCTTCCTGAGAATTATTTAAGATATTCAAATCACTGCAAACGACTGGTATGCTTTTTTCCTTGTGACCCAAATCTGATTTCTTAATTATAAAAGTTTCACCTCGTATTAAAGACTTTCTTTTTAATTTACATTGAAAATTACTTTCCTTGGATTCAGTTTTTAACGATTCTTCTATACTTTGAGCAATATGTTTTTCCATATTCAATAAATAATTTAATTTTTGTTGAATATCCAATTCAACATTTCGTTCAGCACATATTTCCTTATTACTTGAATCCTTTCCTTTAAACATAAATGAATCAGACAACTTTAACGAAACAAGACTTTCAAGAGTGTTACAAAGTTTTGATGTAGAACTTTCTGTAAAATTTTGAGAATAATCAATTCCCTTAGATGATTCAACTCCACTGTATTCACTATTACATGTCGATTTAATTTTTGTAGAACTGTTTAATTTTATTTGTTTCGAGTTTAACTTTTCCGTTTTTAACTCTGTAGAATTATTAATTTCTTTGTATTGTTGATCATCTGCTTCTTTTTTAAGGTCTTGAATTTCATAATTTTTACATTTATCAACAAATATTTTTTGAGTTAATTTTTGCAAAGAAAAATCTTTATCTACCTTATCAAAAATATTAATCTTCTCTTGCAGCTTAAGTGAATCGTTTTTTTCTTGGGCTACTACTAACTTACAATCACTATAAATAACATTTTTATCTTTCGCTGAAACATCAAAGTCCAATTTTGTCTGGAGAGAATTATTGTTTTTGTTTTCAATCTTACTTGATGCATTAGGACTTGAATTCCTAATAGTATGGGAATCAAGAACTTTTATTTTTGATTTGTCCAAAAATTCTATAAACTGTCTTCTTATAGTTTCACATTCAATATTTTCTTTGTCAATGAAGTTTAAATGTGAGCCTAGATCCTTAATAAACGTTAAAAATTGTGAATTCTTATCTCGGTTTTGAAGTATTACAAGAAATTGATTAATAATTGTATCATTGACACTGATTTCTCTGAATATATTGATAATTTCATTTTCAATTACTGCATCTGTTTCTCTGCACAAACAAGTCAATAGTTTTTTCATGATCACTGATGAATTCTTCAGAGATTTAAAAATTTGACTGAAAATGTCCACATCGCTGTATTTATTTTTATTTTCTTCTTTATGAGAGTTACTCGATTGTAAGGAAATTTTCGAGGATAACATTATATTTGCATTTGTTTCAATTTTTGGTGAATCTTTAAAGCTTCGTGGAAATATTACTGATTCTTTTCTTTCGGAATGATCATTATTCAAATCGTCATGCGTCAAGATATTTTGATTCAATTGTTTATTCTCCTCAGTTTCTTTTGGATCACTTGTTGAATTTATTTGACGTTGAAAATTTATTAAAGTTTCTTTTTTATCTGAAAAAATTTCAATACTCAAATCTTTTAAATCATTTAAAGTTTCATCTTTTGAGAGATCTTTAGATAGTGATTTTGTAACTATCGAAGGTAATGATGGTTGAAAAATCATATTTTTTGTTGAAGACATCAAACTAAGGCTTATTGATGATAAATTGATACTTTGACTGTTAGTGGCAGTTTCCTGATCATTGATGTCCGACTTCGGGGAAATAAATTTGGAGAATTTATCAGGACTACTACTTATAAAATCTGTTTTGTTTGCATCGCCAGGTATGAATTCATTTTCTTTTTCTGAAAAATATATTTTAGGAAAATTTTCCACTAATGGAAATTTAATTGATTCTAACTGTTGCGCAGGTGACTTAAAATTTTGTAAAGAAACCATTTCCGCATTAGAATTCACTTTCTGATTATCATATTTATTATCATTATCATTATTTTTAATTTCAAATTTAGGAGATATACTTTTTAAAAATACATCTGTACTTTGAATAACATTTTTAATTATTTCGTTATTTCTTTTTATAGCCGTGTCCAAATCAAAGACAGAGAGCTTTTCCAAGCTAATATGATCGATTATTGCATTTGATTCATTTGAGGATTTATCTAATTTAATAGACGAAAGCTTTGGAACTAGAGAGTTAGATTGAGCGCCTTTTAAGATATCTTTATATTCAAAATTAACTTTTTCATTACTAATTATCGATGGCTGGTTTTTTGGTAAATTTCCTATATGGCAACTTGGTATTTGTCTTTTTTCATTATCTTTAGGAAATTTTTCAGTTTTTGAATTTTCATTTTCAATATTGCACTCTTTAGGTGATACTTTTAAATGTACTGTAGATTCTTTAGATGTTAGTGACTCTGCAATTAATTCGTCATCAATAATATGTTGATCAGAATCATCATCAATATTAATTTCACTGAAATTATTTGTTTTTGTAATTTTATCTGAAACCATCTCAGAACTTCTTTTCAAGCTCACTTTTCTTCTTGAGTCATCAGAAGATTTGAGAACAACGCTTTTTCTGAAAATTTGATTCTTATCGAAGCTTTCTTTTTTTGAAATTTGACTTTTATCATTTTCATTAATAAACTTTTTCTCAGAAAATTCAGTTTGCTCTGAAAGTGTGTTATGTTGAAAACTGTAGACTCCGACATTTTTTGGTTCTTGATATGAAGTTTCTGGCGATACGTGAAAGCGGTCTACATTTTGAACCTGCAAACTTCTCTTCACAATTACTTTTGGACCATTTTGTATTTGGAAAGTTGAAGATTCATTTATGTTCTCTCTCTCATCCGTTTGAGTCGCTTTTTTTTCATGAGATTCAGTCTTAATTTTATCGCAAGTATGAGGAATGTGAGAATAATGTGCCATTTTACGTCTTAAGCAATGTGATATATTTTTACAACATTCATCGTCTCTTATATTTGAATTGCATTTTTCAGGTAGCATTGTCATAAGTTTTAATAATCTGGGTGCTTTAACAATGTTCTCTTCTTGAATTTGAGGAATTGAGGCAGAAAATTTTGTATGATCTTTACAAAGCTTTAACTGATTGCTTGCTTCGTGAAATTTAATCGCAACAATTTGTCGTATACGCAATAAATCCTCATCAATTGTTGGTTGAGCGTTCGGCCTAAAAAAGAAATTAAAATTTATAATAATAAAATCTTACTTTTTTCTCATTATTTTGAATATGTAACAGTATTTTAATCTTGTTTGTAAATGTTAATATTTTCTGAAAATACGTTTCTATGGATAAACTACAAATAAAAAAGTAAACATGAGTAAAGTTATCCAATAATTAAATGAATCCCAACAAAAACATCTTCGATGCAAAAAGTTACGCTAAGCAAAAATTATCTTAACCATCGAAACAATTCGTGAAATAAATGTTAGCCAAGTAAATTTTAGGATTATGTTAAGTTTTAATTAATTTTTTTAATATAAATAATTAAATTTAAAAATGGGAAATTACACAAATTATAATTTTAAAATATGCATGCTATGTAGCAAAAAAGAATTGTTTTGGTCTAAATATGAATTAGAGTTAATAATAAGGGGAAGGTGGGGTAATGGGAACTTTTAAACTTCAAGTACACAGAGACTTTGAATTTCGTGGAAATAACTCGGAAAACTTGAACAATCTTCCTGTATGTCATACGAAGACAAACGGTCACATTTCTGACAGATTTGTAGAAACTACCTCGGAAACTACAAGGAAAAATCAAGTTGTCGAGTTTTTCTTCTTAAATGGAAAATATTTCCGGAGATCATAGTAAATGGTTAAAAATTTATTATTTAATTATGTTTTGTGATTTTATTAGAGATAAATATGTGTAGATTTAGATACATGAATAAAAATAGAGGTAATAAATTTGTTTATGTTTTTCTTCTTTTTTTCAAATTGTGGTCTGTGAAAATTCTTTGGGGTAATGGGAAAATTGTGCCATCCAGCAGAGTTTCGTTACCTCGATATGGCTTTTCTTATTTTATTGCAAATTAAACAAGATTCATTTATAAAATTTGATATTGTTGCATATTTAATTGCTAAGAATCAATATTTGTGTTTTATTGTCTAACATGTGTTATTATTAGATATTCTAATACTAAAGATGCTGTAGGTCTTTTTTATGTCTTAAATATTTTGTAAAATGTTCATCTGTCGAGAACTATTGACAAAATAAGAAAAATATTTAAAGAAAATAAAAATTATATCATTTTATTGGAATTTCAAGTAAGAGCTCCCAATACCCCATAGGTGGGATAATGGGAGAAAATGCATTTTTTTTAGAAAAATTATTTTTTTTGCAAATTTCCTTCCTTTCTCTTAATTTCTAATTAATTATAATTAAAGATAAATAAAAAAAGAAGTAAAAAATGACCAAAACAATATTTTATTATAACAATAAGTCGGTTTTTTTAGTCATTTTCCTTAAAGGGCTCCAATTCCCCCACCTTCCCCTATCAAAATAATTAATGGAAATCAATTTTTTGATTAAGAAAAATTTCTATCGTATACGCAGTTATAAAAACTTGGCGCAAATTATTTTTTAACATATACTACTGCAAGTGGATTAACGAAAAATTAATGAAGGATATAAATATTAAATAATAAATATTATTAATTAATACCTAAAAATAATTCACGCCATGTTTTCATAACTGCACGTACGATAGAAATTTTTCTTAAACAAAAAATTGATTTCAATTAATTATTTTGATAATTATTAACTCTAATTCATATTTAGACCAAAACAATTCTTTTTTTCTACATAGCACTCATATTTTAATTGGTATAATTTTCCATTTTAAAATTTAATATTTTATATTAAAAAAATTAATTAAAACTTAACATAATCCTAAAATTTACTTGGCTATCATTCATTTCACGAATTGTTTCGATGGTTAAGATAATTTTTGCTTGGCGTAACTTTTTGCATCGAAGATGTTTTTATTGGGATTTTAAAACTTTTTGTAAGTTTTTTTTATTCAGTGCTGAATCAGCTTAGAAGCATGTCTCTATCAGATCTATATTTTTATGAATTTCAGATTTAAACAGTCGGATCAGGTCCCGCGTATTCCTTTTTCAATTTTCATTTTATTTATTTCATTTTGAAAAATGATTAAATTTCTTCATTTTTTTATTCCATATCGATTCAAAATGTAAAGAAAAAATTTATGAATATGTATTAAGAGATAGTGATTTACGCTATAATCTCTCTTGCGCTAATCATTTTCAAAAAATTTCTTTAAAAACAATATTTTTCACTACCTACAGTTGTAATTATGTTCATTTTTCTTTTTTATGAATTATTTATTAATAAAAAAGGAAAATAATATATTATATTATGTAAGTGTTATTAAAATGAATTACATCTTTTAAAATTATCGCGCGCTAATTATTGCGACCAATCAGGTGGCTTTAAGTGGATAGGTTATGTTCATTTGTCTTTCATTATTATAATGCGGTTTCCGTCTCTCTGAACTTTTTAGTATAGAGGTGTATAGAGTTGGAACCCGTACTTTTGACAGCTTCATAACACTTTTGCCCACACTTAAAAAATTTTTTTTTGTTTTTGTATTTTGGTCCCTCAGTCTACAGCCAAGGTGGAAATCAATTTATTTAATATTTTTTTTACAATTTACATATTTTCAAATTACATAATTTATTTTAAATTAATTTTTGTTTATTTTTACATTCTACATTTGCCTTATTTTTTTTATTCATCTTTTGTTTTGATTGTTGTCTGGGTTTTATTATTTTGATTATTTCATTTTATTTATTTCGTTTAATTTATTTTATTATTTTATTTAATAGTGATTTATCACTATGGTTTCATTTATATAAGTACCAATTTTTTTTAATTTAAGTAAATAGGGCCTCCTGGGTTGGACCAATTTTGGGACTCTTTTGTCGTATATCCTTTTTACAGGTTTTATCTATGGTTCCCTCCCCAATTCGTCTGCGCCTGTTTTTCAATGAGTGGCAGTCTCTTCCAGACCATTCTTTGGAAGTAGAAATAAAATAAGAAAAAGGGATCCATCCCTCCTTAAGCCTGGGTCTGCTGAAAATACTCTACAGCCAGCAAGTCCGGCATCGAAGAGATTCAATTCTTTTACCTGTCAACCTCAAAATGTAAATAATATAAATATTGCTAATAAAGTAAACATTCAATCCACTAGTTCCAATTCAAATATTCCCTTCATCGATCCACCTCCAGAGTCACACATGAGCACATTGGCTTTTCAGGATTGTATCATGGTCCCACCCACTGAACCTTTATCTGAAGAGCTAAAAAGCTTAACCCAAAATTTAGAACAGACTCAGAGCGTGTCGGATACTTCTAACTCAAGTGGTAAGTCGGATAAAGAAAAATCATTTCCTTATGATTTGATTTGGAGTAACCCTATGTTTAATGAGGAGGCTAGATTTTTTCAGGATTTTCCTCCTCCTTTTACTATTTTGGTTGAAACTACGATTAAGGACAAAAATATTGGCAAGTATAGCAGAATAGCGACTGCGGATTATTTAGAGTCACTCGTTAGCGATCTTCTTCGGGTTGTGGTTGCCAATGGAGTTAATCAACTTCGAGTCACCTCTTCAACATGGGAGTTAGCTAACAGGCTGTTGGAGCTTACTTCTACGAATAATAAAGGATATAAATTATTCATTCCAAGGTCGCTGGTCAGTAGGAAGGCTCTTGCTCATGATATTGATCTGGAACTATCGCCGGAAGACATCAGTCTCAGATTGAGACCAAACATAATTAATAGTATTATTTCTATCCGTAGGCGTACCGATCAAGGCAATGAAATTTCGGGTCAGGTCGAGTTTCTATTTTCGGGAGTCTCAATTCCAGATTCAATTTTTATTTCTTCTGCTCTTTACAATCTCATTTTGATCGTGACCCTCCGAAAAGATGCTATAAGTGTCAACGTTTTAGACACTTCTCTTCACAATGTAAGTCGTCGCAACCCAGATGCGAATTCTGCGCGGAAGCACATTTTTCCAATGTATGCCCGAATCCCAATAGTGAAGCCCTATGTGCGAACTGCAGAGGTGAACATTTAACATCCTACAAAATTTGTGTCTATTATAAATACAAATTCTCGGTTATGAAATGCAGACTTGAGTCCAATGTGGGTTATGAAAAGGCGGAGGATTTGCTTTTGAGAAGTGGTGTAACGAAACCTAGGTACGAAGTGGTTTGGGAGTCAATGGTCCAGCAATCAGGCGGATACTCGTACAGCAAATCCCATACAGAGGGACGGGACCATGATGATGTAGGGCAGGGCGTGAATACCGATGAGGGAATAGGTATGGAGGAGTAGGGGGCTCTATTACTTAGGATAATTTTGTACATATTTTGATTTTGTTGGTTTTTACTTTGTTTGTATTGTTGATCTTATACTTTTATTATTTTGCTCACATAAGAGTCATTTTATTTTATTTACGGACCATTGGGAATTGGTCCTTACTTGTCATATTTGCCAGTTTTTAGTTTATAATTTTACTTGCGGTACTGTCTGCTCTATTGGTTTCGAGATGCTCAATTCTGGTTCGGTTCATAATGCTCTTTCGCTGATTCTCTGTAAAGCCAGAAGCATCATACCTGAAAGACCAGAATTGGAGATTGCTTTTCGTATCACGAAGACTTTCTGTCACAGAGTACGTGATACTCAAATTGATATTGTTTCGATCGCTGCTATGTCTTTGGAATCACACGAATTACTTGTATATATGCTCCGCCGGGTGGGGATATAACACCTGAGGAGTGGTGTGACATCTTCGTTCAACTACCATCAGATGCAAACCACATTCTTTGTGGTGATTTTAATGCTCACAACACTTGTTGGGGTGATGCCTCAACAAATCTGAGAGGAGCACGTCTTTTAAAATTTTCGCTGCAATTTGATCTTTTTTCAACTAACAATACGCTCCCTACTAGATTTCGAGATGCCTTTGTTCTTCGCAAGGGATCGTACCCGAGTTTTACCAAACCTCTATGGTGGAACGAGACATGTGACAAAATACTTGAGGACAGAAGAGAGTACCATAGATGGTATCACGCAAACCAATCTTTAAATAACAGATTGGAGTTCAAAAGGAAAAACAATCATTTAAAATGTCTA